CCAGGGCAATCCGGATCTCTGGGGGGATGCCGTTCCATAGGACGGGGCTGCAGCAGAGAAGGGATGACTCCGAGGTCTCACAAGATGACAACTGTTGAATAGAGGGGACCCGGAGCATGCCCATCCTGCCAGATCCAGTAGGACAGGCAGAAACAGTGGGAGGCAGGTGGTCCCACAATTAACCAGGCCCCATGCTGTGGCTTTTATAGGTGATAAACCAACACCTTGAATTGCACCCAGAAGCCTACCAGGAGCCAGTGCAGCTCACGGAGCAGAGGAGTTGTGGACAATCCCCCCAACTTCTCATGCCACTGCATTCTGGACCAGCTGCAGCTTCTGAATGCTCTTCAAGGGCAGCCCCATATACAGTGCTTTGCAGTAGTCCAACTGGGAGGTTGCAAAGGCGTGAAGCACTGGGCCTCCTGATCCAGAAACAGGCACAACTGGTGCACAAGGCACACTTGTGCGAAGGCCCCCCTAGCCGCAGCTGCCTCTGGCTCTTCCAGCAGGAGCCATGTGTCCTAGAGGATCTCCCCATGGCACACCAGTTCTCTCAGGGAGAGGACAGCCCCACTCAGAGAGAGGAGGAGAGCCCCCATAAGCCTCTCACTCCCAATTCCCTGAACCGGTCTGGAAGGATACTGTGATCAATACTATGTTGAAAGCTGCAGAGAGATCAAGGAGGGCCTGGGTGGAGGTCTAGAGGTCAGGGGCAAGCCCAGTTGATGCCATCCTAGTGTTACAACTAGGCCTGAATCCTGACTGAAAGGGGTCCATCCCTGGGAGCTGCAGGGTGACCACCTCCTCAACAAGCTTCCCTAAATGTGGGAGGTAGGAGACCGGATGAAAATTGTCCAGTTTTCTTGAGTCCAGCAATAGCCTCTAAGGACCAGGTGGATCATCTCCTCTTTCAAAGCAGGCAGAACCATCCAGTCCAGCAAAGAAGCATTAAACAGAACATGGGCCCAAGCTCACAGCTCCAGCCTCCCCTCCCCTCCCCTTCCCCTCCCTTCCCTTCCCTTCCCTTCCCTTTTTCATCTATTTACTTCCTTCCCTTCCCTTCCCTTCCCTTCCCTTCCCTTCCCTTCCCTTCCCTTCCCTTCCCTTCCCTTCCCTTCCCTTCCCTTCCCTTCCCTTCCCTTCCCTTCCCTTCCCTTCCCTTCCCTTCCCTTCCCTTCCCTTCCCTTCCCTTCCCTTCCCTTCCCTTCCCTTCCCTTCCCTTCCCTTCCCTTCCCTTCCCTTCCCTTCCCTTCCCTTCCCTTCCCTTCCCTTCCCTTCCCTTCCCTTCCCTTCCCTTCCCCCTTCATCCAATCATTTTTAAATAAAGCTTCTAGTCAAGCAGTGTTCAAAATATTCTTGCAAGCGTTTTTCCTTTATGTTATTGTTCTTACCACATTACTGCAATTTCTGTTTTGATTGAAACCTGATTTATGGAGGTTGGGTATTTCCACTGTTGACAGTGATTGGTGCAATCTCTCCGCTCAAGAAGCAAAAGAAGTCTTTATGTGCATATCAGCAAAAATATGCAGCATTCTGACTTTCTTGATGTGATGATCAATCCGGTTCTGCTTTAGCCTTATCTGATAGGACTAAGGTGACTTTTAAACAGGAGATGCAGCTTCGTTCTGCCACGGGTCCATCCTCAACGGTCTCTTTGAGGGATTTATCCAGACCCAGAACGGCACCTATTACATTGAATCTGCTGCTGTGGCCAAACGGTCTCTGGAAGCCCATTCCTTGATCTACCACCAGAGAGACTTAGGTGAGAACATCTTCGGTTGCAAGTGTCAAGCCACACCTCTGCCACAGAAAATAAATGCTCTTTCTCTTTCCATTACCAATTTACTTCCGCAGGTCACTTAAGTTGAAACTTCCTTTGGAATAGAATAGAAGAGGACAAGCTGAAGTTCTGGGGCCAAATATGGTCCCCACCCGTCAAAGCATTAGATGCACCCCCCTCCAACCATGACCAGCCAAAAGTTGCCACCAAACTGTAATTTTAACAAGACAGAAAAGGGTGCTTGTGAAATCCTTTGCAGCAAATAAAGACTTTAGTTGAATTGAATCAAATTTCTAATTAATCCAATCAATTTGATGGGTTAAGGGAGGGAGGGAGGGAAGGAGGGAAGGAGGGAAGGAAGGAGGGAAGGAGGGAGGGAAGGAGGGAAGGAG